ATTTTTTGATAGTTAAATACGAACATTTAGAACACTCATAGATTTTACTTAATTGTTTAATTTTTACTCTTTCTTCTTTTTCTAATTTGTGCTTGCTTAATATATGTGCATTTAAACTCCATAATTCGAGAGCTTTAAACTCACAGAATTGGCACTTTAAATTATTGTTTTTTTCGTGGACTTTTAAATGCCTTTTGAAAATACCTTTTCTTACAGTCACGTAATCGCATTGGTCGCACTTAAACTGCTCTTGTTCATCTTTAAAATGAAAAAACTTCTTGTGCTGCGATACACCTTTCTTTGAATCATATTTCTTAGGACACAGGTCACATTTAAACAGCTTTTTTTTGCCACTCTGATCATCATATTGAACCCCATGATATTCCACCTCGATTTTCGTCTCAAACATGGCTTCATCCTCATCTTTTTCTTCGTTGCCTGACAAATTTTTGTCATCTTCTTCAGAAAAGTCACCGTCCCTTCTTTCTTCCTTAATATTGCAAAAGAAACGATCCATTTTATTTCCATGGTCAGAATTATCTTCATCACTGTCTTTGATTTCAGATCTAAAATTATGGATGAAGATAAACAACAGCATATCATACAAATACGCTAAAGAAGTATTGGAACGTTTCGAATTGTCAAATGTCAACAATACATTTAAAGCATAAGAACTGTACATTATTTTTAAATAAATAGGTCGTTTTTTCACAAAAGAGAGGAAGGCAAAAGTCTTACTCGACAAATTTTGTTCAATTGCACAGCTAAATCGCGCACGTTTTTTGTGTTTTACGTTGCAAGGAAAAAAACTAAAAAACTGGTTTAGTACTCGATTTCGATTGATTATTCTTTATATCATTGATTAAGAAACTCAACGCTTAAATGCTTATATAGTTACATTAGTGTGTGTATTTTATCTAAGGGATCATGGTGATTATCGCGTTTTTAATAGTTAATAAAATTCAAGAACTAAATCGTTGCATTTTCATGTTTTGCCAAAGGATAAAATTCGGTGAGTACATTTGTTGGTGCAGAATTAACTAATGATAACTTTACCTAATATAATTTATATTTAAGTTTGGACATTTTTAAGAAATTAGTGAAACTCTAATATTCAAAATGTATGATTTCTTAAAATTCTTGCATTAGTACAGAACCACTAATGTTATGTTATTACTAGACCTTGTGGCTTCCCAAAAACCCCAATCTAGACTAACAGGTTTAACCGGAAGTGATTACGCATGAAAAATAATTTAAAAAAATAGTTTACAATGCCTTATAATTGCTATCCAACGTTCAAATCGATATATTTTCCCTTTATCCATAAACTTCTAATGAATAAGTTAGGTGAATCACCCTGTATACAACAGTGTCTCAGAATTCCATCCAAACATTTTAAGGGGTGATTCTACACTGCAGAATCAACAGCGCGAAATATAAAAAGTCACCAAGAACATTAATGTTCTTGGTGACTTTTTATATTTCGCGAATTCAGTCAAAAATGCTTTATTATAAGAGGGCAATCAACCTCATAAAGCAGAACAAAAAATTATCAAAGCAATGTTTCTTAAAAACGGTTGGTTTTAAGACCAAACAAAAAAGAAATCTAAAAACAATAAAAAAACAAAATCACACATATTTCCTTAAGTAGTAAAATCATCATTTTTTTGTTATATTTAATTAAAAATAAGTGACAAGCAAAAATAAATTCCGTCAATTTGTGTATTTTGCAATGTGGTATTAAGAATTTATAGATAATAAGTGAAAAAAGGCGAATTATTTGTGAAATTCCATATGGGAATCAAAATTTAATGCAAAAATGCTTAAAGTACCTTTCATTTAACTTAATAAAAAACATTTCAAAATTTGTATACAATAAATGGCAACAATGCTTACCCCAATACTTTATCATCATCCAATTCTTCTTTGATTTCTTGTTTTATTGTTATACCAGAGGTTGAGGGCATTTTTTGGGCAGTACAGGTGCTAGTTTTATTGTAATTCATGAAAATATCACCTTTGGAATCAACAACTAGTTCTTCAGGTTCTATTTTAACGATTGTTTGCTCCATTGTGCATGTATTGACTCTAAAAACAATTATCAAACCTTTATAAACTCTCAAACAACGAATTAAACGTATAATAAATATAAATTTTATTTACATGGAAAAATAAGAAACTCAGTCAAAGCTTCGCCTACAATGCAAGAAACGCCAAACGCCACAGAACGCCAATTAACTGTTTGTATTTTATTAACAAAAAAAATTGCATGATTTAAATATTATTCCATGTAGAAAATACCGATGAGACATTTGAACTATTTTGACATTTAACAGAAAATTCACAACAAAATGTAGGTCAAAATATCCCTAGAAATATCACCAGACCTTAGATTAGGGAAGAGAATGGAGACGTAATCAGACCATTGGCAATGTGTCAAATTGCCATCACGCTGTTTCACTTATTCTATCCAATTTAAGATATTTAATACCTACTATTTCGTGCGAACAGAATTAAATACACATTTTGACATTTGAAATTGATGACGCAACGGAAAACATTCGTCGCGGCGACAAGGGTATCTATTGCAAATAATAATTAAAAATAAAACTTTAAATTAAAATCAACAGCTGGGATTTAAACTGATTTTTCCGCATATTTGAAGGAATTTTCATGTTGGAGTAGACAAAAAATCGTTAATGAATAATAAATTTTATTATAACACCTGTAAGAAATGTGTAATTTTGTGGGCAAATAATGAATTTTCTGATTGCTATTTTCTTTTATAATTGGAAAAAGTGAGGTTAAAACTACTTGACAGTTGTCAAATAAATTATCAAGTTAAACAACCTAATATCTAAATTTAATTGTTTATAGTAAATTACTCCATTTTAGAATAGAAATAAATAGAAAATTTAAAGCTAAAATCATGCCCACAGCCTAAAGCACAAAATTCCAATTTTATATTTTTACAATTATTATTATTCAGAACAAACACACATAATAAAATTTTGTAACGGTATGTATACTTACATGTTTTGTATATTTTTGACCAAATTCCTCTTTTTTGTTCTGTTATCGCTATCTTTCTGTACACTTGTTTGGGCTTTGACCATTTTTGCTAAATTAAATGAAGGTATTGCATCATTTTTTAACTTCCACTTATTTTTAGGCAATTTCAACAGTTTTTCTTTATCACAAAAGTCGTCATCAGAAAAATGTTTGGAACATATCCTAGCATTTTTAATATTGAAATTATGCTTTTGATGGCATTTTTCCACCCACAACTTACAAATTTCTTTATCGGTTGGAAAAGTAAAATATCGCCAACTGTTTGAATAATTTTTACTTTTTTTATTGTTGTTACTGGTACAGCCAGTTATAGCACAGTAAACCATTGTTTATTAGGTATATTAAAAAACACCAAAAATATCCAAATAACTTAAATAACACTGTTGACAAAGAATCTAAACGAAAACCATTGTTTATTATATTAAAAAACACCAAAAATATACAAATAACTTAAATAACACATATACTAACACAGCAGTGTGACATATTTACAAAGAAACTAAACGAAAACTCAGGCAGCAACAACGTACTTTTGTCACACGATGGCGTCAGAGGATAAAGAGAGACGCTTATGTTCTGTGGAGAGACGGAAGAAAAATTAACGAACAAATTTAAACAAAAATATCCCTAGAAATATCACCAGACGGTAGACCTTAGATTAGGGAGGAGGATGGAGACGTAACCCATCGTTGCCACATTGCCATCCAATTTTGCTGTTTAATAATATTTCGTGCGAACAGAATAAAATATATGTTTATTTCGTAGTAGTCAAAATTTCGGAAGATCAACCAGTTTCTAAATAATTCTGCCGATATTCAAAAAAATGTGTTATCTACAGTTAATTTTTTTTTATCTGGACTCGTGTTTTTGTTAGGTTGGTGGCTTAACCAGTTTGACTTAGTATTTTTAGTATTTAAAAATGGTACTTCTGCTAAAGAATTTAATTAAATACTTTGACACTGTCAAATTGACAATAATATTTATTATTGATAATTTACTTGTCAATTATAAATAAAAAGATAATTATGCCAAAAATAATAGCAACGAATTCGAATATAAAAGCCCTTTTAAGGGTAAAACTTCATTTTGATGAAATTATTCCAAATGCCACAATGGAAGAAAAAGTACATCGCCTTATGGACATTTTTGGAGTAAAAAAGTAATGAATTTGGTTTTATAAATATTACATCACACATTATTTTCACATTATTCACCATTGGACAACATTTACGTTCACAAAAAATTTTAATTTCTGTTATATAAATTCTTTTCAAAGCGAAGATTATTATCCGCTAGGAATACTTTCTCTTCTGGGCCGTAAAGCAACCTATATTTAACTACTTTTTTTTATATGATTTTACTCATCCAAGCACCACCAAAGCCAAATCAATTGCATTTTTAACTACGAATTGCGACAACTCAACTTAACAACTGCACAATGTAACCTATAATAATTTATACATAACTAACTCACTTGACAACTGTATTTACCAACCAAAACCCTAAATTTGCAACGTTGCCGCAGTCCAGATAAAAAAAGAACTTATTCTAGATCTAAAAACGCACTAAATGCCGCATATTTGAAGAAATTTTCATGTTGTAGTAAACAAAAAAATCGTAATGATAAATTAATTTTATTCATCACCTGTAAGAGATATGTAATTTTGTGAGCAAAATAATGCATTTTCTGATTGTTAATTTGTTAAACTAGGAAAAAGTGAGGTTAAAACTACTTGAAAGTTGTCAAATAAATTATTAAATGAAGTGTTTCGCACAATACTATTTATTTAAAGTTTTAAAAATGTTAACGCGATTTTAGATATTACTTACCTTGGCACGTAAACCACCGGTAAAATCGGGAAATCTGCGGAAGTGCAGAAGGGTAGACTGTAATTAATTTACATATTGTCTTAAATCCAGGGTTAAAAAGAGTTACGCCTTAAGACCTAAAAGACTTTTTAAAATTAATTCATGTTCTCTAATTTAACATAGGCACAGGTACTATTCAAATTACAAAACTCGTAAATTGCAAAATATTTATTTTATTTCGTTAACATATACAGGTTATATTTAATTTAAAAATGTTTGTCTTTTAATTTTTAATAAATTATTATTCTTTAATTATAATTTTTATTTCATTAATTTTATAAATCATAATTTCTTTAAAAATATTATTTAATTATAAAACCTTTAATCTTGACATTTTGCTAACATTTTAAATTTTGACCACATTAATTTTGCATAAGTATCTCTTAAAATCATAATCATAATCACTCCCCACTTCCCTTTTTGCATCTCTAATGCTAACATCTTTGTCTTCTAAAAACGTATTTTTTTCAATTATTAACTTTGATATCTATTCTAAAAATTGGAAAACAATAATAATATAATATTATGTTATTATAAAACTTGACATTTTGCATTTTAAATTTTCATTCACTTTTCTTTTCTAAAGTCTGTTTACAAATTTTAAACATTTTAAATTATATTTTGTTGCTAAATTAAATGTTTTTTTCAAAAAAGGGGCCAAAATTATGCTTCAATGGATTAATAAAAGAAAGTTAAAAAAACCTTTTAAAAGAAACAGTGAAAAAACCCTGAAAAAAAAACAAAAAACGTATGTAGGTATTTTTCACGTAGATCTCTAATTATTGGTGCATTTCCACCACTGAATAAATATAACTAATGCTTGCGATTTAAATGTTTTTTTAAATCACTTGCATATGTAGTTTTATAATTACAGTGTTGACAACAATGTATTTTAGAAGTAATGTTAATTCTATTCGGTTCGTTCAACGAATCTGGATGTATTCTTAAAATATGGTTGTCCAAATCAATTTTTTTATGACAACAATATTTGCAAAATAAACATTTCAATTCTTTAATTTTGTTATGGGTTTTTATATGACTATCTAAATTCCTTTTATGAATAGTTTTATAGTCGCAAGTTTGACATTTATACCATTTAACATTTTCCAATTTCAAACAAACTTTAATATGATTATCATAAGCTGTTTTATAAACAGTTGAATATGAACACTTCGAGCACTCATGGATTTTACTTAATATTTTAATTTTTTCTCTTTCTTCATTTTCCAACTTATGTTTACTAAAAATGTGCGCATTTAATCTCCGTAATTCAGCAGACAAAAACTGACAGAAGGGGCATTTTAATTTATTTTTTTTTTCGTGAATTTTTAAGTGCCTATTAAAACAACCTTTTCTTACAGTTAGGTAATCACATTTGCCGCATTTAAATTGTTCCTGTTCATTTTTCAAATGAAAATACTTTTTATGCTCCAACAAATCCTTCTTTGTTTGATATTTCTTAGGACAGAGGTCACATTTAAACAGCTTTTCTTTGCCACTTGTATAATCAAATTGAACCCCATCATATTCCACCTTGATTTTCTTCTCAAATGTGGCTTCATCCTCATCTTTTTCTTCATTGCCTGACAAATTTTTGTCATTTTCAGAAAAGTCACTGTACCTTCCTTCTTCCTTAATATTCCAAAAGAAAGGATCAATTTCATCTCCATGATCAGAATTGTCTTCATCACTTTCTTTAATTTCAGATCTAAAAGAATGGATGAAGATAAACATCAGCGTACCATACAAATAACTGATAAATGTTTTGTATACAACGGTGTCTCGGAATTCCACCCAAAAATTATAAGGGGTGATTCCACACTGCAGAATCTACAGCGCAAATTATGAAAAAAAAAAGTTCCTAAGAACAAGGGGTCAAAAATGCTTTATGAGATGGCACTCAACCACATAAAGCAGGACAAACAATGTTCAAAGCGATTTTTTTTTAAACGGGTGGTATTAGATCTTTTTAACAAAAGAAACTTTTCAATTGCGCATGCGTAGAATGTGCTCGGACAGGTATAATTGAGGTTAAACTTATTATATGTCACATGGACATTTATTTTCGCGCAAATAATGCTCTGTGCGCATGCCCGCGCCACATAATTTGAAATAAACTCACGAAATGATTTCTTTCTCACGCCATGAGCTCAGGTGATCACAAATGAGCACAATGCATGAGAAATCACGGCGTGAGGTAAACTGGGAAAAATCTAAACTCAGGGTTGCTGTGCAGGAAAAATATAAAATAATAAAAATACTATACTGCCGTACTTAGGGAAAAGGCAGTAAAGTGCAAAAAGCTAAATTGGAGAAAAATAAAATTTAAATTTCAGATAATTTATAACTAAATTAATAATATTATTCTTCTACAATTATATATAAATGACTAATAATATTTTACATGGTTTTCTAAGAAGTCATTTGCGTGTGTATTTAAAAAGTAATTTATTGGCGGGCTTAAAATAAATGACGTACTGTCTTTTATTGCTGTAAACCAAAAGGCAGTAACATATGACTTAATGCCTTTTTACTATGTAAAACAAGATTACTGCTTTTTTCCGTTGTTTTTTTTAATTGTCATATTAATTATTTTGTTAAAAAAGCGCAGTAATTCGGAATAAAAAATTTTTTTCGTTTTTAATAAATTTTATTCATTGAAAAATAAACACAACTAGGTAAAACAATTATTATCTTATCACCGTTGAATCACAAAATATAAAATACTGATTGTAATTTTCTAATTTTTGCACATATAATTAATTTTTTTTACTATTACAAACGATTAATATTTATATAATAACAATTATATTGTTATTCATGTAACGATGAATACAAATATTTAACAATTATTTAATCTTTTTAAATTTTAGAATTATCAGGTAATGAAAAAAAAACAGTATTAAAAATTAAACAAAGACTATTTTTTAAATTATTTCTTTAAAAATTATAAAATCTTCGTGAATTTAAACATTTTTCGAGAAAAAAAACGGAGGTTTAATCACATGGAAAACTTTTTGAACAAAATGAAAACTAATTAGAACCTCAACAAAATCTATCTAGTAACTAAAAAAATATGACTTTTAATTTAAAAGCCCGGAACAAAACTGCACACCGCTCACAACAATATTTGACATTCAAATGTCGATAATTCAACAGAAAAAAGCAGTAAAATGACGATTACTGTTTTTTTTTTTTGTTAATTACAGATCATAATATAATCACATGACACTTAATAAAGCGTAAAAAAGCAGTACTAATCTCTCTCAGAAGATAAAAGCAGTATAGTTTGAATTTTACTGCTTTCTTACTTTGAGAAATAGATTTACTGCTTTTATACTCAGGAAATATAATTAATTCAAAATATTTGTCACATTTAAAAAACTACTTTCTTATGGAAATAAAGTTATTAATGTAATATTTTATACTGAATAAACGTTAAATCAATAGAAAAACATATTGGTACTGAAATTTCAAAAAAGCAGTAAGTGAACATTACTGCCTTTTCCCTAAGTACGGCAGTATAGTATTTTTATTATTTTATATTTTTCCTGCACAGCTATTTTCTATTGAAGACCAAACAATATCACACATATTTGTTAAAGTAGTAGTCATAAAAGAAGGCATTGCCAAAAAACATTTATGACCCCCTCTTAATAAATTTCCTTGCTTTTTTATATTCAATTAAAAATAACTGACAAGCAAAAAATTCTGTCAGTTTGTAGGTATATAATGCAATGTGGGGCCTTTATTTTGGATTATATCGAGAATTTATAGAAAATAAATGAAATAAGGCAGAATTATTTGAAATATTCCATAAAAAAATCAAAATTTTAATACAAAACGCTTAAAATTCCTTTAATTTAACTTATAATAATTTGGCTGTTCCAATAAAAACACAGTAATAAGTATACTTTACTATATTTTGGAATTATGATAAATCTGTTAAATGAAAAGGTTTTATTACTACAAAATTTGTATACAAAAAGTATTGCCATTAAAAATATTATTTGGGTCCAAATGGCAAGATTACATGTACATGTTTTATTCAGATATCCCTGCATATACTAGGAGGCCATTTTCTATCTATAAAATATATAATACATATAGAAAATAACCTAGAATATGCATATTGATATTTATAAAAAATACCCTAATTTTCTATAGGTACTTTTTTTGAATAGGAATAGGTAAGCAGGCTATGTGTGAGTTCAAGATTAAAAATGTTACTTGTTGCGTGATTTAACATAATGCAATAAATGGCAACAATGCTTACCCTTTCTCGAGCAATGCTTCATCATCATCCAACTCCTCTTTGATTTCCTGTTTTATTGTTATTCCAGATATTGAAGGCATTTCTTGGTCAGCACAGATACTTGGATTCACCACAATATCACCTATGAAATCGTCAACTATTTCTTCAGGTTCTTTCTTAACAATTGTTTGCTCCATTGTGCATGGAAACCTGACTACTTATACCTATTTAATGATCAGAGAATAGTTGTTTTGACTCGAAAATACTTAGGCAAGCTGTAAAAACAATATAAAACCGAAAACTAAAATGTCTATGCAACAGTAAAAGAAACGCCAAAACCAAAGATCGCTAATTAACGGTCTAAGTTTGAATTTTCTCAACACAAAATATTCTAAAAAATAACCATAGCAGCATTTGTACTACAAATTAGGAACAATATATTGTTCCAATAGGAACGACTATTTTGACATTTAAAAGAAAATTCCCCAAAAATTTAATCTAAAATATCCCTGCAAATATCACCAGACGGCATACCTTAGAGTAGGGAAGAGGGTGGAGGCGTAATTAGATATCTCATAAAAATTGGTTTAGAGACACTACCTATATTAGGACTATTTTTCTAGTGTTTTTCATAAATATTACTTACCTTGGCACCATAATTTATGAGCCCATTGATTAACATTGCCATATGTAACAAAATAATGCGCAACATTTTAAATTTTTTGCTCTTGCTGGTAAGGGCCTATTTGAAAACGTATTGTGAAATAATCATTGATTTTGCCAATCTGACATCCCACTTATATGCCGCGTTATAAATTGATTTTTTTTCTTCCATAGTGTTGAACATATTTATTTGAGAATATTTGAAATTTTACTACTAAAGGCCAGAGCTGCAACCTCTCAGAAAACTTAAATCGTTTTTTTGATTTAAATCGTTTTAATGACTTAAGTCATTTGGTAATAAGTCATTTCTCTAAAATTGACTTAAGACTTAAAATTTAAGTAATTTTCAAAATGATTTGTGACTTAAATATTTTTTTCAAAATAGAAAAAACTTAAGTCATTTATAAAAGGCTTAAATCAGTACATACGATTTAAGTCAGATAGAAACGATTTAAGTCAAAAAAAGATTTAAGTCTTTTTGAAAAAGATTTAAGTCTTTTTAGAAAATATTTAAGTCAGATTTATTTTATATATTTTTTTATAAATTTTTAACAGCGGCATTTTCTTTTGAACTGCCAGGGGTTCACGCGGCAGCAGATCAAAAACTCCTTTAATTTCCTACCTACAATTGCTACCGTTAGTGGATAAAAAAAAAACCGCCGCGGTAAAGTTAGCTTTTTGGAACCGTTTGACGGCTACATTAAAAAATGTCCTGTCTAAAATGAATTAAAAAAAGTGGGGATTTATAATTTTGTTATTTTGTTTGCCAAAATTCGTCATGTTCGTGCATAGTTATGTCTAATTTGTGATTATTAGTGCAAAGTGAAAACAATCTGAGCGGTCGTGAATCGAGAGTTTGGAACTTCCCATCATTACTCCCTTAAGGGAGGAATATTTTTATTCTAGATGGATGTTGAACCAGCTAACAAAAGTTAACAAAACAACAGTTTTTTAAATACAGCGATTTTAAGAAAAATGCTTCAACTTTTATCTATTTTAACAGAGTTTGAATCTATTACCGTTTAGAAGTTACCCATTTATGTATATAAAAAAGTAGCCTCCCTGTATGTCTACTCTACTAAAAAAGGTGGTTTAAGTTTTTATTTTTATTGTCTACTATATACTCAAAAAATGTGTTTTAAGTTTTTATTTTGTTTGTAAGTGTTCTGAAAATAAATCTTTTAAATTCTTAACATAGTGGTTTATTATTATCTGTATCTACAATAGATTAATAATATCAGTATCATTAATACCATAAAATTATTAACATTTAAAAAATCATTGTATCGTTGACTTAAGGGTAATTATTTTGATTTAAATCACAATTTTTGATTCAAGTCATTTTATTGACTTAACTCTTAGATCACGATTTAAATAAAAAATATAGACTTAAGTCAAAAAAAAGATTTACTAAAGGAATTAAGTCATAAGATGACTTAAATCACTTTATATTGATTTAAGAATTTGCGAAAATGACTTGACTTGAAAGAAAATGATTTAATTCAAAGACTTAATACTTAAATCATTTGAACTTCATCTTAGAATTGACTTAAGATTTAAATCATTTTGATTTTAGAATTTACTTAAGACTTAAGATTTAAGTATTTTTAAAACTGACTTGTTGCAGCTCTGCTAAAGGCTTAGTATGAGTCTGAAGTGACAAGTGGTCTGCCCAGTTCACTCCAATTACAAAATCCCCACTTCTCATTTTGCATCTCTATTACTGACGTCTTTGTTTACTAAAAAACGGTGTTTTTTGCTAACATGTTAAATTATATTTTTCTGATTGGATGAATAAAAAAGTTTGAAAAAAAAGTGAAACTAAAACATAAAATTAAACAAACAAAACTTAAGGATTTATAAGTAGGAGTAGCTCAGGATTGAGAACAATTCCGCGCGCACTTTACAAGTTTTTGCGAAAATTTTAAATTATATTTTACTGTTAAATTAATTTTTTTTTTTGGTAAAACGGGCCAAAACCATGCTGGATTGGATTAGTAAAAGAAAGTTTAAAACAAAACATATATTGTTAAAAAAACATTGAAAATTTACCTGAAAAAAAAACAAAAAACTGGATGTTTTTTTTCACGTTACATCTCTAATTATTGGTGCATTACCTATGTATAAGGGTGAATATTGAGATCTCCCCCAAGTGAAAATGATTATTTTTTATTTTTGGTTGTTTCACTGTTAGTCTAGAATGGGGTAATAACATAACATAAGTGGTTCTGCACTAACGCAAGAATTTTAAGAAATCATACATTTTGAATATTAGAGCTTCACGGAAGATAGCTTCACGGAGGTTAGGTTTCGTATGTTTTTTAAACATCCCTTTGTATTTGAAATAAGTTATTGTATCTTTTGACACCTTAATATTTTCAAAAAATACAATTGTATACATAAAATATTTATAAAAAAAATCTACCTACTGAGATATTACACTTCACGGTGGATAGGTTTTTAAATAGCTAATTAATGAACTTTTGAATTATAAAACAGCAACACTCTCATCTGCATATAAATTCTAACTGGCCTTCAGGAATCACATGCATCTATAATGTCGTAAACAGAGGTTTTTGCTTATTTAAAATGATTAAAGCGCCATCCGTTGCATAAAATTTAAAGCAAAAAAAAGATTCACGGAGGATAGAAACACCTACATAAATGGTTGTAAAAATTATTTCTTTTAATTTTTAATAATATTTTATATTTGATTCGATTGCTTTGGATGTGTTTAATTTACTTAGTGAACTGATATTTTTAGTATGCTTTTACTACCTCAGATATTTAAAAACATATAGGTTAACCTAGAAAGAGTAACAGTCACGGAGGATAGGTTTTAGACTTTTAGAACATTGTAAAAAATCATTAATTGCGGTTAAAAAATCAGGAACCTGAGCTGTCATATCTACTTAATTATGAAAGATCAAAACACAATAAAAGTGTAGGTCAAATTCATTTAGTTTTATTAAATATCACGAGGTAACACCATCGGGGGATTCACCCATAAATATAATTAATGATAACGATTTAAATGTTTTTTTAAATCGCTTGCGAATGTTGTTTTATAATTACAAGATTGGCAACAATGTGTTTTGGAAGTAATACTAATTCTATTGGATTCGTTCAACAAATCTGGATGTATTCTTAAAATATGGTTGTCTAATACAATTTTTTTATGACAACAATATTGGCAAAATAAACATTTTAATTCTTTTATTTTGCTATGAGTTTGTATATGGCTATTTAAATTCTTTTTATAAATAGTTTTATAGTGACAAATGTGACATTTATACCATATGACATTTTCCAATTTCAAACAAACTTTAATATGATTATCATAAGCTGTTTTATAAACAGTTGAATATGAACACTTAGAACACTCATGGATTTTACTTAATATTTTAATTTTTTCTCTTTCTTCATTTTCTAATGTATGGTTACTTAAAATGTGATCATTTAAACTCCGTAATTGAGCAGCCATAAACCGACAGAAATGGCATTTTAATTTATTTTCGTGAATTTTTAAATGCCTATTAAAAATACCTTTTCTTACAGTTACATAATTACATTTGTTACATTTAAATTGTTCTTGTTTGTCTTTTAAATGAAAATACTTTGTATGCTCCAATAAATCCTTCTTTGCTTGATATTTCTTAGGACACAGGTCACATTTAAACAGCTTTTCTTTGCCACTCGTATCATCAAATTGAACCCCATCATATTCCACCTTGATTTTCTTCTCAAACGTGGCTTCATCCTCATCTTTTTCTTCATTGTCTGACAAATTTTTGTCTTCTTCAGAAAAGTCACTGTACCTTCCTTCTTCCTTAATATTGCAAAAGAAAGGATCAATTTTATCTCCATGATCAGAATTGTCTTCATCACTTTCTTTGATTTCAGATCTAAAAAAATGGATGAAGATAAACAACAGCGTATCATACAAATAACTGATAACTGTTTTGTATACAACGGTGTCTCGGAATTCCACCCAAAAATTTTAAGGGGTGATTCCACACTGCAGAATCTACAGCGCAAAATATGAAAAAAGTTACTAAGAACATGGGGTAAAAAATGCTTTATGAGATGGCACTCAACCACATAAAGCAGGGCAAAAAATTTTCAAAGCGATTTTTTTTAAAACGGTTGGTATTCGATCAGGTATAATTGAGGTTAAACTTATTATATGTCACATGGACATTTATTTTGAACGCGCAAATAATGCTCAGTGCGCATGCCCGTGCCACATAATTTGAAATAAACTCACAAAATGATTTTTTTCTCACGCCATGAACTCAGGTGATCGCAAATGAGCACAATGCATGAGAAATCACGGCGTGAGGTAGACTGGGAAAAATCTAAACTCAGGGTTGCTGTGCAGAAAAAAATATAAAATAATAAAAATACCCAAGTACTATTTTTTATTGAAGACCAAACACATTTGCTAAATTAGTAAAGTCATAAAAGAATGCATTAGGTACCAAAAAACATTTATGATCCCCTCTTAACAGCGCCGTAGCAACAACCCAACGGG